AAAATCTTTTTTTCCAAATTTTGGCCAGGCTCAGGCTTGGGCCTGAGCATATTCTGCTAATGTAGAGGCAAAGCCCGGCCCGTGAATGGGTCTATGCTCACCAATGTGGCCTAAAGGAAATATAACATAAGGTGAGTCATAGACAATAAAACTCACTCACGAGCGGCTCCCTAGAGATTTTGAAAATGGTGAGTTTAAGAGAAATGTGAAAAAGTCATGAAGAATTAAGGATTGACACTTTTGACTCCAACCCACCCATCTATCATGTGGGCCAATATGGGTCAAGCAACCCATTTGGGTCAAGAGGGTGGGTTGGGTCAAGGGTACCCATGGGGTTGGTCAAAGTCATGACAGGTTTGGTAAAGTCATCTAAGGCTTGGGTCTATGCTCCTGTATTTGATTTTTTTCACTGTTGATTTTGCTGATTCCCTATTTTCATGGCTTGAATCATGTCTTAAACCTTGCTTAGAGTATCTTCGCTGACATTTTTTTTCTCCAGCAACTTCCCTCTTTTTGCTCTCTCCTTGCGGTTGGTAAACAACAAGAACTGATTGAGTGGATCATAGAAATTTAGGTGCAGGTAATGTGGGTAAATATGGATTCTAAAAGTGAGGCACGCATAGGGCTTTAGGACATGATTCATGAGTTAATCGTCAAGAGATCAGTGCTGATTTAGTTGCCTACATCGGTGGATGGTGTTGGTGTAGTTGGTGAAGTGGTGACATCAACTTTAGCAGTCCAACGGCAGCATTAGAGGCAATTGACAGTTCTAAGTTCTAACAACGATTTATGGCAAACTTGGGAGATCACATCAGTCCTACATGCACATCTATAGGAACATCTCCCGTACTTGTCACTGGTAGATGTTCCTAATACACGGTTCGGATGTATTGTGCAGAATTTAACATAAAACTTTTAGCTACTATTAGGATCATTCGACATCCAATAAAACGAACTTGGCAGCTGGCATGAAATAAGAGCCCAGTGGGTTACATCCAATGCAGCGAACTTGGCAATTGGCATGAAATAGGAGCGCCAAGGGGTCAGATAACGGACGGACCGATGGTTGTCCCATTATTTTACTACTATGGAACACGTGTACCGAAAATCTCCTCCAAAAACTTTACTGTTTATTAGAAATATTTTTCCTTCTCTCCTCCCCCTCTCCTCACTTTTTTCATTTCCCCTCTTTCTTTGGGAGAGAAAATTGCAGTTACAGCTACAGAAAATAAAGTGAAAGACTAGTTAGGACTCATAGACGCTTGGACTTTATTTATAAGCAAAGTTGAAGATGAAGCTCTACGACATTTTCAATTAAATAGTATCCATCTAAATTCAATTAAAGTATTATTTTTGGGGGTTATGTTTGGTTTTGTCCAATCACAATATAAGTTCCGCTTTAATGAGAGTGACAATTTCCTATTCTCTAGATAATTTTGTATTTTTTTATATCTTAATGCTAATTTTATTGGTTTGTTATTATTTTTATACTATTATTAGGTAAAATTATAAAAAAAATATCTTCTTATAATAATTTTATAAACCACCTTTGTGTTTTGACCCTAACAAAAGCCTCCCCTATAGTTTTGAGAAAAAAGTGCAAATACCTCATTTCCCTTGGCTTTTTGGCAACAAAGGCATTGAAGTTATCAAAATACTATTATCCTTGTTAGTGCATTATCATACATAACTACAGTTTTAACTTTACCCTCCACTAGTTTATTTTACTAGACAACTTTCAAAGAATAATTCTCCTTGCTCTTCTTGGACAAAGGTAAAAAGGCTGATGTGAAGTAAAATTCATGCATTACATCAATTTTTTTTTATTTGGAATGCTGACAAAAGGAAGGTATTTGCACCTTTTCTTCAAAACAATAGTGAAGGTTTTTGTTGAGGTCAAAAAAGTGGGGAGTTTCATAAATTTTTTAGAAAACCCAATGAGTTTTTTTTTTATAATTTTCCTTATTTTTAATTGAATTTAAATTGATTTGAAAATAACCAAACTATATTAAAATTAATAATTGTTTGATAATTGATTTCAGTAGCACTTAAGTTGGTTCTAAATTGAATTTAATTATAAAAGTAATAATTTTTTGACAATTCCATCTTAGTTTTTAATTTATCTTATTCCTTTTATTAATTAAATTCTTTTTATTATATTAATAAAAATATTTTTATCAATAAAAATAATTATTAATTATTTTTGTTTTATTTAAGTAACTTACTGTAATATTTTTATTATGGTTAATTAATTTTTATTTTTTTTCAAATGGAATATAAATGGATTATAATTTCAAATGGAAGTAAATAATTTAGTGCAATTATATATCATGGAATATCCCAATTTCAATATAATTAATCTTTAACAATAATTATAGTTCCATGCGAATATATCTAATATATATAAAATTATAGTTAAATTGAAATGGATATATAAATAAAGTTAATGTATTTTATGCAATTTAATAGAGTAACTGAGATGAGAGAGAAGTAGCGGCATGAGTTATTGAAGGAGATAATTAATGAACAGAGATTATTAAAAGAGTTAATGGGAGAGAGAGAAAAGATAAGTTCCTTTTGAGTAGAAATGGCTGTTTATTGCAACACTCTTGCAGGTTTAGGATATTCTTCATAGTCTTACTCAGGTCCTTATGTGTCCAAGATACGGGTACCTGATATTTTTCCAAATCCAGCTTCAGCTGTTCAATGATGTGGACCGACGAATCCAGAAAAACGAGGAACCATTAGAAACATCTGCATACGCAGAAGTGGAACTTGAAGAAAGATGAGGTGGACGGGGTTGAAGGGGCAAAGGAAACGAGGGATGTGGAAGAGCTGTTGAGGAGCATAGGAGAAAAAAGGGGATAGAGGTTCAGTAGAGGAGAATGGAGGGGAGAAAAAATTAGGGATTGAAGGAGGGGGGAAGCGAGGGTGAAGGAGGCAAGATTAGAAGTGAGGTTAGAACATATAAAAGGAAAAATATAGAGCATTTCCCTTGCAACCCATTTGGCTCGCGCAACATGGATGAGAAAATAGGAATATTTGCCGAATATTTCTATTTTCTCATGTTCGTTTTGAGAGATATGATGCGATGAGATGGGATTAGTATTCTCAAAATAAGGGACGTGGGGTTTCACCAAATAGGTGCGACCCCAGTGAGACACAAAAGTTGCATGACGAGTGAGAAAATTTTGTTGAGGGTGGACTGTTCTCATCTCCCACCTCTGCAACGGTCCAAACTCCAACCACTTTATCTTTCATCTCCAGCAAGGTTTACGGCCTTCGGTAAATACTCACATCCCCTTTCAGGCTTTCATGCTATTTGGTGTTTTGTTCTACAGAAAATACCCTTATCTTCCTCCATCAACTTTGATCTTAGATCTCAGACGACAAGGAGATAGGATATTGTCTTTGTCTTCTCTAGCGAAGGTAGCCTTGTCTTCGTCTTCTCAGATGGCAAGGAGACAGGATTCCGTTTCGCACATCATCCATGTTTTATTTTTGCATTTTTTTTATCAAGAACGTTTTTCCTTCCATGTGTTTTAGGTGCTTAGCAGACAAGGAGCATAGGTTCGTCTCTGGAAATTGGAGTTCTCATCCTCATCTTCTACAAAGGTCTGTTTTCATCCTCATCATCTTCCCATATCTTCTCCCTTTGCTAACCCTTTGTAATTGGGTTGATCCTAATCTGATCCACTTTCTGGTCGGATCATATTATCCGATGTGAAGATCTGAACAGAGGTGAACCAAATTCAATCAAATAGGACCGAATCGGATCATGATCCAATCCATTTGCACCCCTAGTTATGCTACTGCACCATGCAGTTTAAAATCTAATCTAGTTTGGTCCACATGAAGTTATAACAAATAGCTGGGTGTAGGTTCTTGAAAATTGGTGACCCTTGTCAAATCTAACAACAATGGAATATGAATGGTTTTAAGGAGAAAATTGGGTTTTAAAAAGTTACAACAATCACGTGCCAATGGAATGTGACAGTATTGGTACAATTAGTCAATTGTTAGAATGTAGAAGGCATTTTAAAGGATTTGGCAAACAATCGGGTGTATAACATATAAGTCCATTTCCTAAAACTTAGTTATAACTTAAGCCCATTTGGTGGAACCGAAGCCTGTGTTCTCTAGACACGATGATGGCTAAATATCAGTTCTTTTAAACATGAAAATTGAGTAATTAACAGTGGTAAATATCTTAGTTGGTAATGTTTGGATCAGTTCTTTTCAGACGAACCTGATACAAAACCAAAATCCTTGTCGGGTCATGGGTCAAATCTTTTGAGAATTATATTCATGTGTCAAGGGCGAATCCAGGATATGTGACTTCTGCCTAGGAGTTGATCTAGGCTAAAGTGTGGGCCTGTTTGTTTCCTCTTAACTCTTACTTCTTAAGAGAATCCCCAGTCCCCTCTTGTTACTTGTTAGTTTGTTGTGCGATCCCATTTCCATGTTTGTAAACAAATTGACTATTGAGTGCAAATTCTGGTTTATTTTAGTTTTGAGTTTCAGCATGGGTTAGTTTGTTTCAGTATGGATCAAGGAAAATAAAATATGAAGCAAAGTAAAGAAAAACAGAAGTAGACCAGATTGCACTCAAATGAAACTACAATGAGAACAAATGGAGTGCCAAGAAATGCAATACCAGCGTCCACCAATATTTTAACAATTTGCTGGAGTTCATCAGTCTCACTCAAATCGATAATTGATACGTCTTTAACTCGTCAAACCAAATGCATAATCTTTATAGTTAGTAGGTGTACTTTTGTTCATTCACAGACATCAACTGAGAATAAGCACGACCACTCAATGAATTTATACTAATTCTGCTCTCTGTTTCAACTTTCAAACACACAGATGAAATGCAAATGGGAAAGAACTGAAGAAGAAGCTATGAAGACATGTCATCCTAGCAGCAACTTACCCGAGAAGATACAAGGGAAGAATAATGGTAGACTTCTAATTGTATATACACACAAAAAGCTTATGATGTTATGTACAAGGCAGTGCAAAACTGCAAATATAATTTTTGAAATGTTGGATGAGACTTGATCACTTGACGGTGTAAGGCCCGTGGCCTTTGAAAAGGCACTTTCTTTCTATTTCTTCTTTTCAGTTATTCTTGATATAATGTTATGCCCCAAAAAAATAGGAAAATCATGAGGAATACAATCAATACAAAGATTATCTTAATCATCAGCCACCGGTTGGATGAGATAATGTTGAGGTTGAGTTCTCATTTGCCAGTGTGTCGTCCATGTTCTCATCAATCCTGTCAGGTTGAGTTCAAACAGAAGGAAGGTTAGATATCATTAACATATCCTTGACCACAGATTAGGAATCACAGATTCCATTCTATATTTTAATGCAAGAAAAATAAAATAACCATCAAATCACCGTCATTAACATATCCAACTGCTAATTTTGTATAGGATGTCTTAAGAATTAGAATGGATATTGAATGGTCAGACATTCAGACTGCCTACATATTTATGTGAAAGAATAGACAGTAATTTTTGCCCACAGACTAGAGATTGCTCAATCTGGCCATGAATATATTTGCTAAGCATATAAACAAATCATTCTGAGGCCATGGTTTAGTTGAATTGCTGGCAAAACAGGGGGTGACGAGTTCTATGTTTAGGGGAATGCAACAAGGGGGATTTGTACTTAACAATGAACCTGAATTTGAAGGTTAGTTGAGGCTGACCATCCTTTCAATCTTTGTTTACTTTATCTCTACTCAATGTAATAAAATTATTCTTCGTTGCTGAGTTTCTATACTTTAAGATTAAGTTTACACTTATGAAAATCATGGACAATTATCACGGAAATACAGTTGCTAGTTGCCATGGAACCTAGTGAGATATCCAAGGACAATTTTTACTTAAAAAAAAAATCACCTACTACAGAGCAAGATACCAGAACAGAATTAATAAGCAATATTTCAGATTTGGGTGGGGGTTGTTAAATGATCCATAATACAACCTAGGCAGTTCAACAATTTGAGATGTTTGTAGCAGTCTAGCAGATGTGCACACATATTGAATGGGACCAACTTCAGAGATTGGATGGGCTAATAATAAGCCAAACCAATGATTGCCAACCTGTAATTATATACATATTATTTTTGAAACAGAATATGTAACTATATACATATTATTGGGTTCATTTGTCTGGTGGGAAAGAGCTCTACTGCAACTTAAAGGAAACCWGGAAATGCATAGGTTGATTATAATATATGCAGTCTCCAATGAAACCTATGGGACGCATGGTGTATCAGGGTCCCAAACCATCTACAAGCCTTATAACATATCAGCTGATAAAGTAAGAAATGAATAAATACATTGAAGGGAACCAATAGTTTGGTTTAATTTTGAGCAATAAATACCGTAAGTTCGAGAGTAGAAACGTAGAATATAAAACCTGATTGCAAGCTCTCCTTGCTGAGAGTAAAAACAAAAGGAAGAGGAACCAATACAACCACAAGAAAACACCAAATGAACCGGATGTTTGAGAAATTTACATCAAAGAGTTGATCGGCTTCCTTATAGTATTGCCGCGAGAGGTTGCTCATCTTGCCCGCAAGTCGAGCATTCTTCGTGCCTGCACCCAGAAGAACCAAGGATATTATTGTCACCTCCACAACCGATAAACCTTTTCTTCAAAAAATTTTAAAATTTAGGGAAGTACACATTCTACAACAAACACATACCCGTGCCGCTTCCGAATCCGTATGACTTCCGAGCCTTYTTTCCACGCCCACGCCATTCACCTGCCAAGAATATCTAATTAGAAATAGGTGGAGAAGAAAAAGTTTAAGAGTGTATACAGAAGAARTGGGTTAGAGTGGCTCATTCTGGACTCCAGCGTATGCGAGGCCATGGCTGTTCACTGCTACAATTCGAACGCTTGAATCGGCTCCGTGGATCCAATCTCCTAAAAGTGGCAATGCATGAAGGTGTCGGTGCTGAGGATTATTAATAAATTCAGAAAAATTACAAGCAGAACAATGGCAATATAGCAATTAGTAACCCACACACCCACAAGAAACATCCATTCAGTTATCCTATAGAATTAAAAGAAAATGGAACTGAATTAAGCACGGATGTTTCCTATACTTACATTGATATCGCAATTTAGTAACCCATAAATCCAAACGAAAACACCAAATGAATAAGAGAATTAAGAAGCTTACACCGAAGAGTTGATCGGTTTCCTTATAGTTTTTCCGCGATAGGTTGTGTATCTTGCCCGCAAGTCGAGCATTCTTCATGCCTGCACCCATAAAACCCGAGGATATTATAGCCACTGCCATGACCGACAAACCTTGTCTTCCAAAACTGATATAATTTAGGTATGCAGACATTGAACAAAAAACACATACCTGTGCAGCTTCTGCATCCGTATCGCTTCCGAGTCTCCTATGCGCTCACGCCCTTCACCTGTCAAGAATATGTAATCATAAACAGGTGGACAAGAAATAGTTTAGAAGTAAATATAGAAGAAATGGGTTAGAGTGGCTTCTTCTCGATTCCAGCGTATGCAAGGCCTCGGCGGACTACTGCCCCAATTCGAACGCTTGAATCAGCTCCAATGACGCAATCTCATGGAAGTGGCAATGCCTGTAGAAGCCAAGGGGAGTATTAGAAAATTAAAAACAAGATACAAGCACAAAAACGACAATGAAGCAAGAGAAGACCTTATAAAAAGTTTCAATAGATATAACCAATGTTGGGTTACACTATCGTAGTCATTCTGATACGGCAGTTGACAATGCGAACCCATTAGAATGTTCMTGCAATGACAAGGCAGAAATTGCATTAGCAGAATTTATTAATTCGTGTGAATCCAAAATCAACTTCGCAGGACAAAATCTTATGCTTCAATAACAAAGGTACGAACATCGAGTGCAGTTTTGAAAGGTCCTTACCTCGAAATACAGGTCCGAAGGGAGAAGAAAAAGGGATACCAACCTTGCTGTAGCATAATCACTCTCATCGTTCATGTTCTTGAAGGGGCTGTCAACGGTTCAGGTCTACCCGACTGGCCCGAATAAACCCAACCATTTATAAAGGATCCGGCTCCATGGTTATGTTGAAATATATAATTGGGTAGGTTCCGGTTCTCGCCCCTCCCGAATTGATTCATGCCCAAAACCGATTATTTTGTTAGCCATATATATTATTTCCTTCGTTTTCTTATAGTTTTTCTCTTATCATAGGTTTAAAGTGTCAAATCTGATAGATAGATAAATAAAGGTGTTTAACGTTTTAACATATAAGTAACTTAGTATTTTTCTATCAATTTAATTAACGATATATGACTAAAGTTTAAATTTTAGTTTGCAGTTTAAATAAGAAAAGTGGTTTTTTTTTAGCTTAAATGGTTCGGTATTAAACCTATGTTTTTGTTTCAACCTAAATTTTAAGTTAAAATGGACGGTTTTGGGTCCAAGATTTTGTCCCAATTAATCATCTATTCGGGAGTGCTTCTACCTAGACCGGACCCGGATCCCACCCGTTGACAGCCCTATATTGAATGGCGGCCAATTTHCGGTCGAGCCACCACTCAAAGCWTGATGAGAAATAGTCAGTCACTTATCCGAAGGAATTAAAAGAAACTTGAAGTCCTTTAAGCAAGAGATGTGTACTATATACTTACATTATTAACAGAAACCGGAAACAATAGTATGGCGCAATAGTCAGAATGCCCACCCCAAAAGTTGCAACGCCTCGAGCAATCCAAAACTACACATATAACCAGACCAAATTAGTAAGCATAATCCCAAAAGAGGACACAGAATGAAGTAGAGAGTTAAGAAGCTCACACCGAAGATTGGACCAGCTTCCTTATAGTAAAGCCGTGAGAACTTGCACAGCTTGCATGCAAATCGAGCATTGTTCGTGCCTACCCATAGGAACCTACGATATTATGGTCACCTCCACAACCGGCAAACTTATATTCCAAAAGTGTTAAAATCTAGGAATGTAGACATTCTACAACAAACACATAATTGTGCCGCTTCCGAGTCTCCTTTCCGCACCCACGCCATTCACCTGTCAAGCATATCTAATCAGAAATAGGTGGGGAAGAAATGGTTTAAGAGTGTATATAGAAGAAACGGGTTGGAGTGGCTCATTCTGGACTCCGGCGTATGCGAGGCCATGGCTGGTTGCCGCAACAATCTAAACGATTGAATCAACTCCACGGATGCAATTTCCTGAAAGCGGCAATGCCGAAATATGCCAGTCAACAGGACTATTAAAAAATTAAGAAAAGTTACATGCACAATGACAGGAATAGAGCAATTAGTAACCCACACACCCACAAGAAACATCTAGTCACTTATCTTACGGATTTAAAACATAAAAGAAGTCAACTAAGCTAGGGATGTGTCAAATATTTACATTGATACCGAAAACCGGAATCAATGGTAAGGTGCAGGAGTTGGTAAGCCCATCCCCAAAATTTGCAACGCCTCAAGCAATCTAAAACTGCATATATAACCCAAGCAATCTAGGAACCAATACAACCACAAGAGAACATCGAATGAGCCGGATGTTTGGGAAATTTACATTGAAGAGTTGATCAGCTTCCTTATAGAATTGACGCGAGAGGTTGTGCATGTTGCTCGCAAGGCGAGCATTCTTCGTGCCTGCACCCATAAGAACCAAGGATATTATTGTCACCTTGACAACCGGCAAACCTTTTCTTCAAAAATTTTAAAATTTAGGGATGCACACATTCGACAACAATTGCATACTTGTGCCACTTCCGAATCCGTATCACTTTCGAGTCTCCTTTCCGCACCCACGCCATTCACCTGTCAAGAATTTCTAATCAGAAACAAGTGGAAAACAAAATGTCTAAGAGAGAATAAAGAAGAAATGGGTTAATCATGAGGATGCACCCACGCCATTCACCAGTCAAGAATTTCTGATCACTACTACAATTCGAACGCTTGAATCAGCTCCGCGGATGCAATCTCCTGAAAGTGGCAATGCAAGAAGGTGTTAATCATGAGGATTACTAACAAATTAAGAGAAGTTTCAAGCACAACAACGGCAATTGAGCAATTAGTAACCCACACACCCATAACAACATCCAGTCATTTATCCTACGGAATTAAAATAAAACGGAACTGAATTAAGCACGGGATGTTTCCTATACTTTCATTGGTATCGAAAATAGGGAACAATGGTAAGGCGCATGATCCGGCAAGCCGATCGCCAAAAGTAGCAAAGGCTCGAACAATCTAAATCTACGCATATAGCCAAATCAAAATAGTAACCCATACACCCAAACGAGAACACCGAATGAAGTTGAGAATTGAGAAGCTTACACCGAAGAGTWGATCGACTTCCTTATAGTATTGCCGCGAGAGGTTGCGCATCTTGCCCGCAAGTCAAGCATTCTTCGTACCTGCACCCATAAGAACCAACGATATTATGGTCACCTCCACAACCGGGATGTTTCTTATACTTACATTGATATCTTAAACAGGGAACAATGGTAAGGCACAGGATTCGGTAAGTCGATCACCAAAAGTAGAAACGCCTCGAGAAAATAAAAAACTACGCATATAACCAAAGCAATTTAGTAACTCATACATCCAAACGAGAACACCAAATGAATATGAGAATTGAGAAGCTTACACCTAAGAGTTGATCAGCTTCCTTATAGTTTTTCCGCGAGAGGTTGTTTATCTTGCCCGCAAGTCGAGCATTCTTCGTGCCTGCACCCATAAAACCCGAGGATATTATAGCCACTGCCTCGACCGACAAACCTTGTCTTCCAAAAATGATATAATTTAGSTATGCAGACATTGTACAAAGAACACATACCTGTGCAGCTTCTGCATCCGTATCGCTTCCGAGTCTCCTATGCGCTCACGCCGTTCACCTGTCAAGAATATGTAATTAGAAACAGGTGGACAAGAAATAGTTTAGAAGTAAATATAGAAGAAATGGGCTAGAGTGGCTTATTCTGAACTCCAGCGTATGCAAGGCCTCGGCGGACTACTGCTCCAATTCGAATGCTTGAATCAGCTCCAATGACGCAATCTCATGGAAGTGGCAATGCCTGTAGAAGCCAAGGGGAGTATTAGAAAATTAAAAGAGGTTACAAGCACAACAACGTCAATAAAGCAAAAGAAGCCCATATAAAAAGTTTCAACAGATATAAGCAATGTGGGCTTACACTATCGCAGTCATTCTGATACGGCAGTTGACAATGCGAACCCATTAGAATGTTCCTAGAATGATGAGGCAGAAATTGCATTAGCACAATTTATTAATTCGTGTGAATCCAAATTCAACTTCCCAGGGCAAAATCTTATGCTTCAATAACAAAGGTACGAACATCGAGTGCGGTTTTGAATGGTCCTTACCTCGAAGTACAGGTCCAAAGCGAGAAGAAAAAGGGATACCAACCTTGCTGCAACACAATCGCTCTCATCGTTCATGTTCTTGAAGGGGCTGTCAACGGTTCAGGTCCACCCGACTGGCCCGAATAGACCCAACCATTTATAAAGGATCCGGCTCCATGATTATGTCGAAATAAATAATTAGGTTGGTTCCGGTTCTCGCCCCTCCCGAATCGATTCATGCCCAAAACCGATTATTTTGTTAGCCATTTATATTATTTCCTTCGTTTTCTTAAAGTTTTTCTCTTCTCATAGGTTTAAAGTGTCGAATCTGATAGATAGATAAATAAAGGTGTTTAACGTTTTAACATATAAGTAACTTAGTATTTTTCTATCAATTTAATTAACGATATATGACTAAAGTTTAAATTTTAGTTTGCGGTTTAAATAAGAAAAGTGGTGTTTTTTAGCTTAAATGGTTCGGTATTAAACCTATGTTTTGGTTTCAACCTAAATTTTAAGTTAAAATGGACGGTTTTGGGTCTAAGATTTTGTCCCAATTAATGATTTGTTCGGGAGTGCTTCTACCTAAACTGGACCCGGATCCCACCCGTTGACAGCCCTATCTTGAATGGCGGCCAGTTTCTGGTCGAGCCACCACTCAAAGCTTGATGACAAATAGTTAGTCACTTATCCGAATGAATTAAAAGAAAATGGAAGTCCTTTAAGCAAGGGATGTTTCCTATATACTTACATTACTAACGGAAACCGGAAGCAATAGTATGGCGCAATAGTCGGAATGCCCTCCCCAAATGTAGCAATGCCTCGAGCAATCCAAAACTACACATTTAAGCAGAGCAAATTAGTAAGCCATACACCCAAAAGAGGACACAGAATGAAGTGGAGAGTTGAGAAGCTTACATCGAAGATTGACCAGCTTCCTTATAGTAAAGCCGTGAGAGCTTGCACAGCTTGCCTGCAAATCGAGCATTCCTCGTGCTTGCCCATAGTAACCAAGGATATTATGGCCCCCTCCACAACTAGCAAACTTATATTCCAAAAGTGTTAAAATCTAGGAATGCAAACATTCTACAACAAACACATACTTGTGCCGCTTACGAATCCGTATCAGTTCCGAGTCTCCTTTCCGCACCCCCGCCATTCACCTATCAAGAATATCAAACCAGTAATCGATGGAGAAGAAAAGGTTTAAGAGTGTATATAGAAGAAATGGGTTGGAGTGGCTCATTCTGGACTCCAGCGTATGCGACGCCATGGTTGGCTACTGCAACAATTCGAACAGTTGAATCAACTCCGCAGACGCAATTTTTTGAAAGCGGCAATGCCGGAATATGCCAGTCAAGAGGAGTATTAAAAAATTAAGAAAAGTTACATGCACAATGACAGGAATAAAGCAATTAGTAACCCACACACCCACAAGAAACATCTAGTCACTTATCTTACGGATTTAAAAGATAAATTAAGACAATTAAGCTAGGGATGTGTCGTATATTTACATTGATATCGAAAACCGAAATCAATGGTAAGGCACATGAGTTGGAAAACCCATCCCCAAAATTTGCAATGCCTCGAGCAATCTAAAATTGCAAATATAACCCAAGCAAATTAGAAACCAATACAACCGCAAGAGAACACCGAATGATCCTGAGATTCGAGAAATTTACATCGAAGAGTTGATCAGCTTCCTTATAGTATTGCCACAAGAGGTTGCGCATTTTGCCTGCAAGTCGAGCATTTTTTGTGCCTGCACCCATAAGAACCAAGGATATTATTGTCACCTCTACAACCAACAAACATTTTCTTCTAAAAATTTTAAAATTTAGGGATGCACACAGTCGACAACAATCACATACCTGTGCTGCTTTCGAATCCGTATCACTTTCAAGTGTCCTTTCCGATTCTCACCCCTTCGAATTGATTCAAGCCCAAAACCTATTATTTTGTTTGCCATATATAATATTTCCTTTGTTTTCTTATAGTTTTTCTCTTATCATAGGTTTAAAGTGTAAAATTTGATAGATAGATGCAGAAAGGTGTTTAACGTTTTAACATATAAATAATTTTGGATTTTTCTATCAATTTTATTAATGATATATTATTAAAGATTCAATTTTAGGTTGCGATTTAAATAAGAAAAGTGGTTTTTTTTAATGTTTATATGGTTTGGTTTTTAACCTTTGTTATTGTTTCTACCTAAATTTTAAGTCAAAATGGATGGTTTTGGGTCTACGATTTTGTCTTGATTAATGATTGGTTCGGGAGTGCTTCTACCTAGACCAAACCCGGATCCCACCCGTTGACAACCCTATCTTGAATGGCGGCCAATTTCCGGTCCATCCAACACTCAATGCTTGATGAGAAACAGTGAGCCACTTATTCCAAGAAATTAAAAGAAAATGAAAGTCAATTAAGCATGGGATGTGTCTATACTTACATTGTTACCAAAAACMRGAAATAATGGTAAGGCACAGRAGTCGGAAAGCCCTTCTCCAAAAGTAGCAATGCCTCGTGAAATCCAAAACTACACATATAACCCAAGCAAATTAGTAACCCATACACCCACAAGAGAAATAGGTGGAGAAGAAATAGTTTAAAAGTAAATATAGAAGAAATGGTTTAGAGTGGCTCATTCTGGACTCCAGCGTATGTTAGGATATGGCTGATTTCTGCTACAATTCGAACGCTTGAATCAGCTCTGCCAACTAAATCTCCTAAAAGTGGCAATGCCTGAAGATGTCTGTCAAGAGGAGTATTAAAAAAAATTAAGAAAAATTACAAGCTCAACAACGGCAATAGAGCAATTAGTAACCCACACACCCAGAAGAAACAACCAGCCACTTATCCTACATAATCAAAATAAAACGGAAGTCAATTAAGCACGGGGTGTCTCTTATACTTACCTTGATATTGTAAATCGAGAACAATGGTAAGGCACAGGAGTCGGCAAGTCCATCCCCAAAAGTAGCAGCTCCTCGAGCAATCCAAAACTACACATATAGCCCAAGAAAATTAGTAACCCATACACCCACAAGAGAACACCAAATGACACCGAGAATTGAGAAGCTTACACCAAAGAATACACCGAATGCATAGAATGTATATCTGGGGACATGGAATATTCTTGAGCTGCTATTTTAATTACTTAATATGTATTTCTTTTTTATTTTTGACAATAGGTAACTTTCATTAAGAACCAAAAGGAGGGGGTGTGCATGAGAGTATGTACAAAAAACTGAGAGCCCAAAAAAGCAAAAAAATTACAATGGAAATGTGTTAGCACTATACARTGAAGCCCTATCCACCCCTGATTTTCCTAAAGAATCAGTCATATTCAGTTCCCTAGAACCCATCTAAAAGAAGAAAAAGCTCTTGAGTTTCGTTGAGCAAGTGGGCCAAAATCCAAGGAACCTCTTCTTGGTTAGCAGCCCATCATATGGCATTTCTTCAATCACCCTCCACCACAAAGGGGGCAGAGTGAATAGTTCTAGCCATCCTTGAGCAGTTAAACCCATAAAAGAGCTCTGACTTTCGCTTCAACCACGTCTGTAATGCCAATAGATCCACTATAAGTCCACAATACTGTTCCAGCAGAGTTGATTATGAGAACACCAATCCCTGCCACCCCCTACCATCTGAAATTATTCTGCAACTTCCATTAAAGTTTAGCAGGAATTTTCAACTTGTCCTTAGAGATAACTTAGGTGGGAACAAAGGAACTAACCTAGAAGAGAGGAGGATACAGTTTAGATTCCTATTAAAGTACTTGCACGTTAGGGCCCATTGAATGAGGGTTAGGGCTGATAGAATATTAGATTCCTTTGTTGGTATGCCCTCAGACTTTCTAAGGGGTTAGGCCTCTCAGTAAGTGCATCAGGAGAGCCAGGACTGATGCCAAGTGTTATATCCTGCCTTTGGCTATCAGGGTTGGATCATCTAGAGGAACTACTTGTCTTCTAGTACAATCATTTTGAAGGCGAACAACAAATAAAACCTTTGATTCTTTCGCTGGTAGGCCCTCAGAATTTCTAAGGAGTTAGGCCTCTCACTAAGTGCATCAGAAGGGCTAGGACT